ATCAGCTGAAAACAAAGAAAGAGAAGATTAAATCTCTGACCAAAGTAACTGTTGGAGAAAAAAATGAGAACAAACTAAAAACCATCTTGCTTGTTGGTGAAACAGGAGCTGGAAAATCTAATCTAGTCAATGCTTTGTTCAACTACGCTGTGGGTGTAAAATTTGAGGATGAGATCTGGGTTAAGATAGTTGAGGAGAAAGAGGACAGAAGTCAGGCAGGAAGTCGGACATCAGATGTTGTCGTCTATCAGATATATGATTCTGAGGATCAAACTCTGCCATTCTCTCTGACCATCATTGATACTCCTGGATATGGAGATGCTGGGTTGCAACAACAATTACTGGAATTATTCCAATCAGATGATGGAATCCATGAAGTTCATGCAGTAGGACTGGTCATTGAGGAGGGGGGTAATGTAGTCAGTGACCAACTGAAGAACGTCTATGATTTCATTTTGTCCCAGTTTGGAAAAGATGTGGAGAAAAACGTTGTAGCTCTCCTGACAAACTCAAATGGAAAACAACCTAAAAAGGTTCTTCAGGCTCTTGAAGCTGCAAACATCAAATGTGCCAAAAATGAGAAAAATCAGACAGTTTATTTCCAGTTTGATAACTGCCAGGATGAAGAAAGAACAGAAGAGTCTGAATTATCAACAGAATATGCTTGGAGAGTAACAGAAAGAGGAATGAAACAGCTCACAGCCTTTCTGGGAAAATCTTCACCTCAGCAGAAGAATGTAATGATGGAAGCACAGAAAGATCAGATTAGACTGACGGCCTGCATCCAAAACCTGCAGGAGAGAATAAAGTTTATTGAGTTTAAACTCAGAGATGTTAGAATGACTCAAGAGGCTCTTTATAACAATAAACAGAAGTGGAAAATTTATAAGAAGTTAGAGGTTTCAGATACCTATAAAGACGCAGAGCCTCTTACAGATAAGAGATTTGGTTTTGAAACAGCTGTCGTCTGTTTCCACTGTCAGGAGAACTGTCACTATCCTCGCTGTATGACCGCCTTAGATCCTCAACAGTGTGAGGTGATGATAAATGGAGAATGTACCTCATGTACCAACAAGTGTTCTGCAGGAGAACATGGGAAAAATAACTGGCGATTTGTGATCAGGACCCAAAAGATTCTGAAAAGTAAAGAAGAGTTAAAAAAAGATTATGAACAGAAACATGGAGGAGGAGAGAAGAAGCTTTCTAAAAGACTTGAAACTAGGAAAACGGAACTGACAGCAGAGAAGAGACGACTGATAAAGGAAGCATACAGACTTTTTATAAAACTGTATGAGTTAGTTAAGAAGGATGAATCAAATGATGTCTCAGCATCAACTTGTATAATCTTGGACTACCTAATCAAGAAGATGAAGGAAGAAGGGGATGAAGAAAAGCTGCAGCAACTGGAGGAAATATACAGCAGAATGGATCAAGGAACCAGATCAGCACTACAACACAGGTACAGTTAGTTTCTGAATGTCACACTTTTCCACACTTTTCTATGTCATAGCTTCCCAGACAACTTTTACTTCTGACTACATATGACCTCTGGGGGCCCACAGTTAATAATACACAATATGGAAGAAAATACTTTACTTTCATTTTGCTATTTAATTACTACAACAGTTGTTTAGCGTTATAATATTACCTAAAATCGTTTTACTTTTCTTTGAAATTCCCACTGAATAATAATCCTTTCAACAAATTATTGATAATAAAAACAACAAAAGAAATTAAGTGTGTATATAGTGGGAGAGCTGGACTTCAGGTTTATGAGGCCTTAGAAGCAAAAACTCTGTCCTATTTTCCTTAATCCTGTTCACTAAACCAGGTGATTTTATAACCAGCTGTCTTAAATTTCTCATCCTTGAGCCAAAATTAACGTGGTGGGGGTGTTTAAGTGCTCCAACGATAACAAGGGGTTATTTTGTAGAGTCTCCTAAGGCAGTGTGTTGGGACAGACAAAAAGCTAATCAAAATGCTGAGACCTCAGACTGGAGCAATGCCTGGGGTTTAGGGTTCATTGGCAAGCTTTTGCAAATGAAAACAAAGTTTAGATAAGAGATGCAATGGTGTCCTCCAGCCGGGAACCAGGAGGGACTAGCTCAGGGGTAACCAATTAAAAATCAGCGGGGTCCAAATAAAGAAAATCAACAACCAGTAAAGGTCCGGAGATTCAGTCATTAGACACGCTAACACTACTAATGATCCTGACTCAGCACACAGTCACTGCATCGTTATTATCATTGTCTGGGAAACCACAATGTTTTACGTCAACTGGCAACATTCAGTCTGCACATAGCTTAACGCCACTGGCATGCGCAGGACCCGAGCAGATGTGATCACCTGAGAAAATCAAGTTCTTACGCCAGTCAGAGAGCTTTCCATCTTTACTGAACACTCATTAGACTGATTCAGGTATAATGCTAATTATGATAATAGAAGGAACACGATTGCCGTGACTTGGCAATTCACATGAATCAAGTCAAGTCTATTCGCAGGTCAAGAAGGGCAAGTCAAAGTCAAGTCTTTAGTTAAAATTCAATCAAGCACACAAATCTGGCGACTTGAGACAGACTCTAGTCAAGTCATTGACTCGACTCCCCCCATATCTGACAATTAGTAATAAACTTGGTTGAAATCACATTGACAGAAATATTTGAGAATAGTATTAAAAATGATAACCATGATAAACTTCCCCTTAAAACCACATTGTCACAGGGTAATTATGACTCTTTCAATCAGATATTTATTATTAGCTATTTCTAATACAGTATAAGATATGGTCAAATAATATTTTAGCATGTTGTGAGCATTTATGTTCTGCTGCCACTTGCTCATTGTTTCGTCTTTCTTTCACACAACAAGTTGTGCTTAGCTGCTCTTAAATATACCCCAGGGATCCCTCTGTTACCTTCACAGCTTTATAGTTCTTAACCATGGTATCGAACTGCTGGTTATAAAGCTAAGGTTCGTCTCACATTAACTTAGCTCTATGATGCTGGTAACTAGCAGTCCGGGTTAATTGTACACACACAGAGGAGGAGAGGCGGAGTAGTTGAACACATCGACTGTGGCTTTATTTGCCACTTTACTTCCTTTCATACAACACAGGATCTTTGATGGCTGTAACCGGCATTATCTCACACACACTTCGCCGGCGAGAGGGACGCACACTTTCTTTAATTTTCATAACATTATTCACAAAAACACAATACAGCTGTGCTGACTATATCACACACTACCCATCAGGCAACCTCCTTAAAGGAAATGCTGGGGCCAGTAACAGCCCATAACAAGGCTCTCTATTCCAAGGTTTAATTTAAGTTCCTTTAATAATTTATGAGCGGAGAAAATGGGAAAGAGTTTGAAAATCTAAAATAAGTTATCCTCTTTTCTGCAGGATGGAAGTGACTTCATCTAATCAGGAGGCCTTGAGATCAGAAGGTGTTCAAATCCATCGTGGACCTCCTTCTATCTACCAGCTGATACCAAAGAAAGAGAGGATTGGAACTTTGACCAGAGTGACGGTTGGTGAGAAAGATGAGAACAAGATCAATAAAACAATCTTACTAGTTGGTGAAACAGGAGCAGGAAAGTCAACCATGGTCAACGCTCTGTTCAACTATGCTGTGGGAGTGAAGTTTGAGGATGAAGTTTGGTTTCAGATTGTGGAGGGATCTAAGGAGGGATCTGTGGAGGGAGAGGAGCAGAAAAGTCAAACAAAAAGTCAAACATCAGATGTGATCGTCTATCAGATTTTTGGTTTTGAAGGCCAAAGTCTGCCGTTCTCTCTCACCATCATCGATACTCCTGGATTTGGAAGCACCAGAGGATTTGAAGAAGATATCTCTGTCAGCAGAAGATTGTTTGACTTGTTCAGATCAGAAGATGGAGTTCATGAGATCAATGCAGTGGGTCTGGTGATGAAGGCTAGTGATAACCGACTGAATGGCAGACTGAGGTACATCTTCAATTCAGTGATGTCTCTGTTTGGAAAAGACCTGGAGAATAACATTGTAGCTCTGGTCACTCATTCTGATGGGAGACCACCTGAAAATGTGCTAAAGGCCTTGGAAGATGCAAAAATTAAAAGTTCCAGAGATGAGATGAATCAGCCTGTACACTTCATTTTTAATAATCAACAGATCAAACAGAGAAACAGAACAGAGAAAGATCGGCAGAGTTCAAAATACTCTTGGGACTTTACTAATGAAGACATGGGTCGTTTGAGAGACTTTCTGAAAAAAACCAAACCTCAGGCTCTGAAAACAACCATGGAGGTTCTGAATGAACGGATCAGACTGGAGGCCTGCATCCAGAACCTGCAGGAGAGAATCAAGCTGGCTGAACTAAAGCAGAATGAAATCAAACAGACTGAAGCAGAGTATACTAAACATGAAGAAGAGATGAAGGAGCACCAGGACTTTACTATAGAAGTTGATGAGGTCTACAAAGACAGAGTAAAATTTAAAGGTGGACGGTGGGGTGTGGTGTTTTATGAAGGAGCCATCACCTGTTCTGTCTGTGAGGAGAACTGTCACTATCCAGGATGCACAATGGCCTGGAAACCAGGACACTGCAAGGTAATGAAGAAGGGGCACTGCACAGTTTGTACCAAAAAGTGTCCTGCTTCAAATCATGTGAAAGAAAATTGGAGATATGAGATAAAGACCAGAAAAGTTCAGAAGACCCTGGCAGGTGTGAAGGAGAAATATGAAAAGAATAAAGCAGAATGTGAGTCAAAGTCAGGTCTTTTGGAAAACCTTAAACAGGAAACCATTAAGCTGACAGCAAAGCGAACGTCAGTGCTGGATGAGGCCTACGATCATGTTATCAAACTGGAGCAGATCGCCCTGAATGTTAACTCAGGTTACACTTTTAACTACATGGGCTTCCTGATTGAGAAGATGAAGGAAAGGGGAGACAAAGAAAAGCTCAAAATACTAGAAAAGCTGAAGATTAGGATGGATAAAAATAATGAGGGTCAAACCCAATGGCAACACATTTAGAAAAAGTAGAGGAAGCTCTGATATGAAAGGAATAAATGTGTATTAGTTGAACTCCTGTCTCTTAATTAGACATAGTATGTGTACCATTCATGAGCACTTAGAAAATACATGAAAAAGTAAAAAGTGGAAATATTTGCAACCATGAGCCACAAATCACCATAGGTTGTCTGAAGCGGCTGGATGTTAAATGATATTCAGAATTTCAGTGTATTATATCAGGTGTTTTTTATTATTATTATTATTATATACATTTATTGAAAGACAAAGGGCAGAAAGTTAACATTCTTAATTATTTTTTTGCTCCTAATTTTATTTTATTTTTTCCCCACCAAAGATGAATAAAGCATCCTGACTAATTAGGCAAAACTTTTTACTAAATGTTTAGTTAGGAAACTCATTTCTTCTGATCTCCTTATAATAAATTTCTAAATTATTTCAGGATCATTTTAAATACTGTTTAAAGGCAGTTTAAGACAAGTTTTAAGACAACTAGCGTCTATAAAAATGTTCTAGATTGGTCCAGATGCTTTTAAAATATACAATCAGCACACAGAGGTACCATCATTATACTGATTGTTAGAATTTGAGAAATATAGGATTATTTTTTAATGATCAAAACTTTGTTTTATTTTGATATGAAATAACATAACAGGAATGACAGGGGCAACCTTTCGAGATGAAGGATTGATGTTTCATATTTTTGTTCTGTACATTTTTTAAAAACAGACCAATGGAAATATTTTATTTTTACAGAATCAGTGATTAGTAGAATTTGGAGGTGATTGACTATTTAGAAAACATCTGAATATGAGGTTGTTTCATTTTTTTTATGATGATGTCAATTATGAGTTCATTATTTTGTTTAGAGGTTTTTAAGTGTGATGTTTAATAAATAATGTTGAAGTCATGGAGGAAATGTAAGACACATCAGACTGAGAATATGAACACAGTTCTTTAGTTGATTATTAGATTTTTGTGATACAGTGCTACAGACTGGTGACATCTATCCCACTTTTTATCTCCTGTATCTCATAAGGGTTTGCATTAAAGAGCAAATGACATTCCAATAGATGGTGTGGACATTTAATTATTTGGAACTGTTTCTCTTTTTTTTTTTCCTTTCAGCAGTGCTAAAAAGATCGGCTGTTTTGGTGCTGAGCAAATTCTTACTCAAAACTAAATCGACTAAACTGCTATAACTAAACAGTTGTAAGGCCATAATAAGATAATAAGAAACACTCAAAAACCACAGGGGTGTATATATTTTTCCATTACAGTCAGGAGAGACATTGATGTCTAATCGTGATAGTTAATCTTTTCGAGAAAGGCCAGCAGGAAAAATGACAAGGCAATCAGGATATCTTTTAAAATCTTTCTGTCTAAAGCTATTCCATCATGAAAGAAGGAGCAACATGAGGGAAAAAAAGACTAGTTCCCTAAGCAGCTTTTTTATAATAAAAGAACGTTATAGATCTCATATTTGTGAAATTTATCTCATAATTTAATCCATCCCCTTAGGTTTTAGGAGGCTGCCATCATGGGTTAAGGGTCTTACTCAGAGAGGCAGCGTAGCAGTTGAACTCACAACCTCAGGATTCCAAGTCCCATGCCATGACCCCTTGGCAACCATTCCCAACATCTGCCTACATTAATTTATTAATATATAAGGT